TCTTTTCATCATTTTTATCTTCGAAAAAATGTTACCGTATGCTATTGTTGTTAACGAAATTAGTAAAGCAAAAAAAAAAATGTGGCAAATTAGTTTATTTCAATCCGTTCTGAAATATTTATTTTCACATTCCGAAATGCCCATTCTTACTTATTCCTACAATTTCACTTAATTCTATTAGATTTTAAAGCGCATTTAAACAATTATTTTTTATATCTGAGAATAAATGATAAAATTACTTATTTGCACAGATGAAGTTTTCATTACCTTCCAATTAATTAGCTGACTAATTAATGGTTAAAAAAATGCAAATTAACAAAATTTTAACATTAACTTGAAAATGCAAAATATTTATATCACAAATAATAAATTTACAATGTTAAAAATAATTTCAGCCGTACCATATTTACCACGTTATATGAAACCAGGTCAACCTTGCGTTGTATGTGGTGATGATGCTACTGGTTTACATTATAGGTATCATTTTTATCACATCAAGCAATAAATGATAAACTTATTCATTTCAAATTTTTTTCTCTCATTTTTTGAAATTTGGAAGCATTGGTTAAAAAATAAAGGAAATTTAAAAAATTTTAATAGGTAAGCTAAAAATGCTAGTAAAAAATATATTTATTTTAAGAGCAATAACATGTGAAGGTTGCAAAGGTTTCTTCCGACGAACGATTCAGGTAAGTGATAAAATTATCTCATTTAAGTGATAAAATGATCTCATTTATTAAATATACAAGTATTAAATTATCCAAGAGTTGTATTAATTTTACAATATTAAACAAATGGCTTAAGCAAATAAATAACGCTTATTTAGTATAATCATTTCAAATAATTTGATCCCATTTTAAATTTAAGATGAATGATATATCGGATGAAACATGCAAGCAGTCTGCGTCATCATATCACAACACATAGCAGTGAAGGAAAACATAAATGTAACGAATGCAATAAAGCATTCAAGCTGGCCAGCTATCTGCAAAGACACAAACGGACGGTGCACAGAAATGAACGACCATTCAAATGTGACAAATGCAACAAAATATACACACAGAGTGGAAGTCTGCAAAGACACGAACGGATGCACAGTAATGAACGGCCATACCAATGCATTAAATGTGGTAGAAAATTCATTTGAAATGATAATTTGAATGACCACATTAAGGTGCATCAGAACCCAGCTAAAAGGCTGCATTCTACAGTAAACCCTCCAATCAAGTCAACATCTGATGATATCGTTGTCGCGAATTTCGATTCGCGAAGTTTCAACCATACAAACAAATAATCAAATAAATTTCTTATTGTAAACAGATTTTCCTAATATCGTAACTCATTCAATTAATTCTGCATTCCTTCAAATTGTTTCTTATGACATGCTTGTTTTAACCAAATCCACATCTTCATATTCACACATTTTGGTACGGTATCCCCTTTGTTAGCAATTACTCAAATTATCTTAATTATCCTTTGTTCAGACAAGTATCTTTATCCA